CCGGAGAGCGAGACAGTCAGGCCCCAAGCAGCGCCGGGAACAGCTGGGACTGGACACCACCCTGAAGCCAGCTGGCTAGCTCTGCCCTGCTGGAGGCGCCATCTCTGGTGAGTGTGGGCATGTCTGGCTCTCCCGCAACACCCTGGCTCTCCCCGCATTGTCTTGGGGTCCTGGCTGAGGTCGAGAGCCAGGGTAACTTCAAATCCCAGGGGAAGGGTCAGGGGCAGCAGCTGGGCCTTTTGAATACAGCTGTGAACCAAGTTGGCTGGTGAGGCTGGTGAAGGGCAGGCTGCAGTGTGTGCAGAGAGGATGCGATTGTAGGGGCCAGAGGCCACCAAGAGAACAGGTGGGAGAAGGAAGAAGGGTCAGAGAGGGAGAACACAGCCCTGCCACAGGCCAGGCTACTGCCCAGCACAGTGCTGACCTGAGGCTGGCTTCTGAAGGTGAAGGGACAGTTGGGAGAAGGGAGGTTGCCAGTTTGTCACCAGCTCCGCTCTGTTGCCAATATTCTTCTCTGGCGCAGCTTGTGCAGATCCTTCATCTAGTTACCCCTAGCAAATGTTCCCTGAGGCCCTACTATGGGCAAGGCACTAGGGAACACAAAGTGCCCTAGGATCAGGCAGACATCTTTCCCTCAAAGAGCCTATACCCGGTTGGGGATGTAAGACATGTGCATAAACAACATTAAAAAGGCAGAAAAAGTAAAAGCTACACACAAAAAAGAGAAAAGCATAGCACACTGAACTGCAAGGCCAGGGGAGTTAAAAACAAATGGGTTCTCATCCACGGCGAGTCACTTAGCCTTTAGGAACCTCAGTTTTAAATTGATGAAACAGAGGCACAAATACTGCCTTATTCAACTCCAGGGCTGTAAAGATCATATGAAAGACACTTTGAAACTGTTCAGTGCTATACAGAGGCAAGTGGTTGTGAGTATTGTATTATCAGACTAGCCAGAGTTTCTCTGAACTTCTTGTTCTGGGATTCTGGGAGTCTGAGGAAGCCAGGGACCTGGGTGCAGGGTTCATGACCGCAGCAAGGCCCGAGCTAGCCGCCGAGGCCTCCCTGGGGTGAGGTCAGGGAGTGTCCCACATGGATGGGGGTCTGCAGGATGACTGTCGGAGGTACTGGGGAATGGAAGGAAGATTGCAAGTGAGGATAATCAGTCCGGGGGCATGTAACCACTGAGGTGAAGTAGAGGGCACAGCTGCCTCTGAAATAGTCTCAAATCCAGGTGAGTCATTTCCTGAAGGTAAGGGAGACTAAATGTAACACTTTGAACATACTTTTCTTTCAATGGTGTGGGTGGGTTGAGGGAACTGAATCTTTGGACATTTGGCTTTGACCTTGGTTCCTATATTCACTCAGTCTACTGATGGACACCCTCGAGACCTCGGTAGCTCAGAAAAGCTGATTCTCTCCTTCTACGGGGAGTTGCTTAGTAGCCACTGAGCCAAGGACCCAGAGGGGAATAGGGAGATTTTGACATTCCAGCAGGCTCTGCTCAAGGCCCACTTCTGGGTACATTTCCTGAGAGATCATCCATGGGCAGCCAGTTGTAGTGAATGACCTGCTTCTTAAGGGGCCACCTTGGAATCTGGGTCCTTTCAGAAAACTAGGTGGTACCTTCTGTTCCAAGCAGGCAGTCCCATGAACTTAAGAGAAAAGGAGACTTGGCCAGACACTGCAGCCTGGACAGTAACCAGTTAATACAGACCCTGGGAGCAAGGAGAGGTCAATTGCAAAATCTGTTTACCAGCCAGTTGTGAGGCACCCAGCCACCTAGCACAGGATTCCAGACACCTACCTGTCAGGGAGCCAAAAGCCCCACCCTCAGCTTGGTGAGGAACTATTCTCACTCCACGGGTGCCAGGCCACAAGACCAGGGACACTCAACCCCCTAGGAAGGGGCAGCAGGCCTCCCACTTCCCGGAGAAGGAAATAGTTCCTGTAAGAGATTCTGAAAGCTGAAACTGCAGTCCAGGACTCCTGCTACCCAGGCAAAAGGGAAGTCCCTCTAGGGAACATAGCGACTTACAGCATTCCAGGGTAGGCCCCTTTAGTGCCCCCAGCCAGGTTGCTGAGGCCCCCTACCCTGGATTCTGAATGCAGGGCATCCTGGCTGAGGGGAGGTGGACTTCCCCAGCAGAAGGAAGGCCTGATGCCAGTGGGCAGGGCAGGTACGACACTGTCTGCAAGGCCTTTGTGAGGGGGCACAGCAGCAGTGGGCTACCCTCCAGGGACTGTTTCTCAACTCTTGCTACTGTTAGGAGCACCGAATAATGGATCTATCACATGACAGGCTCTGTGCCACATGCTAGAGACAACAAGATGAGTGAGACATGTCCCTGCTCTTGAGAAGGGCACGGTCTAATTGGGGAGACAATAGTTTAGAAGGCTGATTCAGATGCACTGGGATAAATGATAAATAAACAAACGCATACTAAGCTGTGGGTACACAGGGCAGGCAGCTCACACAGGTCCTCCCTTTGAAGAGGAGGGACATTGGTGCTGAGCTTTGAGGCAGGGCAGATGTTTGAAAAATGTTGGTCAGAGAAAGGGGTGTGGGAGGGACAGGATGGTGCAGGTAGGAGAAGCCCAGGGGAAGGCCCAGAACACGGCTCCATGAGGCTATTCTGATGAACAAAGCAGCTTCCACAAGGGTTTGGGTTAAAAACTGTTAGGCCCCTTTAGCCGATAGAACTGAGGTTCAGAGGGGACAACCAGCAAAGGAGAGGCTGGCCACCTGTAACTGACAGTCCTGTGTGAGGAACATTCCAGACACAGCTTCACCTGGATGTTGCAGCAAGATGTAGGGAGGCAACTGGGGCTCAGACAGATGAAGTGACTTGCCCAGGTCACACTGCTGGTGGGTGGCAGAACAGCTCCCCACCCCACGTACAGCTCAAAAGGGGTGCTCCAGTGGATAAAGGCAGGTTCATGGGGCCGGCAGGAACTCAAGCCCCACATCAGGGGAGGGAAGAATTCAGGCACTCCAGTAATCCAAGGCCTATGTGGCACCACTTCTCAAAATATTACTTTTTGGTGAAAATGGGAGTTTGTAAAGGCTTAGATGCCTATAGGTCATTAAATTGGGTGGAGGGCATTTGGGACACAGTTAAGCCTTTTAGCTGGAGTCTTGGAAGGCAGTAGGACCTCCCAGAGCTTCCCCTCTAGCCTTTGCAGAGCTGTGTCCAGTGGCACCCTCCCTATCTGACTCTTGGGGAAGGGGGGGCTCTCATGTTCTCCACCCCATCTCCCCTCCCCTGACAAAGCACAGGTAGAGGGTGGGGGTTACTAAAGCGGAGGGCACCAGGGATCTTGGAGACCCAGAGGCCCAAGTCTTCTGCCCTGAGGGCCTGGCTTTGTTTTGAAGTCAGACCCTGTTCCGAAGGGGCAAACTGTTCTCAAAACTGCCCTGCATTTCCACGGCTGTCTGCAATTCAAGGCTGGCTGAGGGCAGAGTTCAGCTGTCTCAGTGTCCTGGCCTCATTCTAAACAACTCCCAGTCGGTGGCCAGGCACCAGACACCCCAACCTTACCCCAGCCTGGGCAGGGAGTGAGGCCTCCGGAGGACGAAGGGGTTGTGGAAGCTTGAAAGCAAATTAAGCCAATGGCCTGGAACCCCTAACACATCTCCCAGACTACATCCCTTACACCCTTTCCCGGGCTCTCAGAATTGGCTTTTCACATATGCTAATAAGCCACCCCTCCGGGGAAACTGAATTCTGCATTAGTTGCTTTGTGAATGAAAACGCTCTTCGGAGGTCGCAGTGACTTAACCCTCTTCCCGAGGCGTGACTGGCTGCTTGCCTTTCCACGGTGGACACCCAATTACCTGGACCTTACAAACGTCTGGACACCCTCACGAGCGGTCCCCGGACACGTAGGGTCGAGGGAGTTGGGGGAAGGAGGCAAAATTAAGTTACAGCTTTGCAGCAGGAACGCGCTCTTTCTCTTCGTATTTTAAAGAATTACAACAGTTCCGTCTTCGACCACATTTTCCAGATCAGCCAGCAAGGACCGGGTACAGCGAGGGATACAGGGTTCTAGAAAACGAGGGCCCCACCGCCAGCCCCTGCCGCTGAGCAAACATTCCCCCCTCCTGGAGTCGGAAAAGCCGGTGTGCGGGGGGAGCAGCCGGCCTGAAGTTTATTGACTCCCGGTTGTCAAGATCGAGGCCCGCAAACAAACAGCCCCAGAGGAACCCCTCCCTTGCCCTGCGCCTCCCACCACCGTGCCACCCCCCAGCCCGGGACCAGCTGCCTCCCTCCTCCAGGTCTCCCTTCGCGGGGGTTCGGGGCTGAGCAAACATGCCCCGCCGCCCGCCCTGCCACCGGCTGGCTCCGGCCGCGCACAGCTGGCGATCCCCCAGGCAACTCGGCGTCACGAGAGCCAGCACCTCGGAGACCCGGCGCCCTACCCTCCCTCCACGTCCCTTGGGCCCCGGCCAGGCCCAACAACCTCTCTCTTCTCGGTGCACCGCGGCCCCTCTGGGCCTCCCGCGCTTGCTAACTAGGCCCCGCCGGGCGCCCCCGGACCGCGCAGCCCACGTCCCGCAAGCCCGCAGCCCCAGGGGAGGGCGGCCAGAAAATCTCTTGTTTACAGGGCCGGAGAGATCCCAGCCTGCACTCGCTCCCCATTTCTGCGGTTCCCTCTCTGCCGATTCCAGGCGGGGGGAGGGGAAAGGGTGGTAACCCGCTGACCCACCGGGGCAGAGTGCCGGCGGGGGCGCAGAGTTGGGAGGGTACCCGAACTCGGGGAAAAGTCCCGGGGCGGCGGGAGCTGCAGGACTCTGAGTCAAGGCCGACGAGTCCCGGAGCGCACAGCCCGCGAGGGCCGGGTCAGACACCGTACTTCGGGGAGCGTAACTGTGAAGGCTAATTAGGACAAGTCGGAACCGAGAACGGGGACGCGGGGAGGGGAGGGGAGCGCGCTCAGAGTTGGACATTGTCTCTAGCGGTCTCAGGAAACCCAAGCGCGGGGTGGGCGGGCCCAGGGCGACATCTGCCCACCGTCCCGAGGGGTTTCCGGGCTCGGCCCTCGGCGTTACGGGGGCGCGCGGGCGCATTCCCACGCACCTTTGGTGACTCGGGTGCCGGCAGAGGACAGCGGGTGCAAGAGGCGGACACCGTGTGTGGTATGTCCACGTGTGCAAACTCGGGGAGGGAGGGGGCGCAGAAATCATGACAAAGACGGACTTTGTATCTGAGTATGCGCTTCGCTCCAGCCCGGAGTAGCCAACTGCCGCTGTGTGTGCCTCACGCGAGAGCCAGGACGAAGGTGCAAAGGCAAGGTGTCGGGCAGGGAGAGTCGCACCGAGGTGGCCCCGCGCGTCGCTGTGTGTGCGCGCGCAAGGACATCAGGGGAGGGAGAGGCCGCCCGCAAGGTGTGCTGGGCTGCACCCCAAACTGTTCTCCGGAGGGAAAGCCGAGTCCGGAAAGTGAGTGCGCGTGAGTGTGCGCGCGCCCGGGTGTGGGGGGCGTGGCAGTAAACAGCAACACAACCCACACGCCCGCCTCCCCAGGAACTCCCCCCACCCTCCCGGAACGGCTAGTGCGACTCGCTGGAGCCTGGAGGTGAGTCGGAGGGGGAGGGCCGGCGGGCTTTGTTGCTCTGCTCGCGATTGCACCTACCTGGAGCTCTGCGGGCGCCCGATTAGCCCCTGAATGGAGGTGATGTCACGGTGATGCGGGCGCCGGCCCCGCCCCGCCCAGAGAAAGGAGCCGAGCCCCGGAGAGGCGGCGCGAGAACCAGCTCCCGGGTCTCGGGGAGGCGCAGGCCCTGCGCCCCAGTCCCCCGACCGGGCCCCGCCCCCGCGCGCTGTGCCGAGTCGCTCCAACCCCCCCGCGCCCCGCCTGGGGCTGGAGGTGGCCCCAGACGCTGCGCCGGAGCCCGGCCGGCGGCGCGTCCCAGGTAAGCGCTGCTGCCTTCCCGCCCCGCCCTCCGCTCGTCCGCCGGGGAGAGTTGGGTCGGGCTAGCAGGGAGAACTGGGGGCCGGAGGACGCCCGGCCAACTCCGCTCGGTCCAGAAACTTTCCAAATCGGAGCCCGCTGGAGACGGGGGGTGGGGGGAAGCCCGGAGATACGGCCCGGCTAGGAGCGGGGGAGAGGGAACTGGTAGAATTCCACCATCAGGGTCTCCGCGGGGGACTTCCTCCACCCACCCACGCTGCCTCCGGCGTACACCCCAAAACTGGGATAGGACTGAGGAGGGCAGGTCTCAGAATCTTCCTGCGGGAAGTTTGGAATTTCAGTCAAAGAACCTATACTGGCAGCCTGGCTTCTAGATCCCTCCCCTCCCCCGACTCCCGTAGCCCCAGGGCTGTTTGCAGTGTTGAGGTGGAGGAATCGACTCACCAGCAAATCCTTAAGCCGCAGTTTTACACGCAGGAAACTCAGTCATTTGAAAACTCCACGATCTTGATCCTAAAGCACAGGCTCAGAATATGTTGAAATAGGGTTTTGTGCTCTCGGAGCCCCCCCCCCCCTCCACCAGCCTTCTTCGTATGTGGCTTGGGAAGGGGGTGGTGTGTTTGAGGTGGGCTTATTCTAGAGCAGACTTTTCAGCTGAGGACTTCCAAGTTTCAGAGTAGTCTGGGAATTTTGGTCCAAACGCCCCTTCTTTGTGGATATCTGGGCTGGGGTGCCAGGAATTCCCCAGTCCCCCCAACCTTGCTACTGAGGTAGTTCCTGACAGGCACAGAATCTGGGGTTACTCTTAATACTTCTTACTAGTTGACTTAAAGGCCAGAGCCCCCTGGAAAGAGAAGTAATATGATAGGGTCTGGCCAGGGGCAAGGGAGAGGAGGAGGTAGATGGGACGGGGAGAGGGCCATCCATGCATCTCCTGTTTGTGGGGGGCGGTGCTCTGTGGCATCTCCGGTACGTTTAGGTGCCTCCTGCCCCCTAAGAGGGGACTCTCAAGGGTGGTGGCCCCCTTGAACATGGCACCTGGTTATGGGTCTATATCTTACTCTATCCTTGAGCTTGGGAGACAGACCACTAGTGGCAGTATGAAGCTGTGGTACTGTTCTCAGGATGGTATGCTATGTTCTGGGGTTCTCAGGCTCCTGTCTGGATGGTGGGGGGTGAGGAAGGGCTTTGCCCTGGCCGGCTGCCACATCCTCGCTGGCTGAAGCCAGTCATGGCTAGCTGGGACTCTGAGCCCACCGTGCTCCCCCTAGAGAGGGACAGGGAGGAGGGGCTTCTGGAACTGGATTGGGCTGACCCAGACCAGAGCTGGGGTGGGGGCTATCGCTGAGCCTGGGGAAAGGCTGATCTCGGATGTAATTAAAAATGTTAGTATGACTGATTCCAGGGAGGTGTAGCAAAGGGTCCCTTTGTACAGAAAATAATTTGAGACTGGCCTGAGCCACAGCCGTGGTGTGGGGAAACTCAGGGACAGGAGATATACCCCTCCTTGGTTCCACTGAGAACTTCAAAGCAGAAGATGTGGTTCTACAGTGAAGAGGGCAGGCCTGGCATCAGGGAGAAGTGGGCACAGTCGGGTCAGTGAATGGTTTTCGGATGTCTGCCGAGTCAGGCAAGGCCCGGTGTGTTGCAGGGGTGCTGAGATAACACTAACATGTCTCATCACTACCCTCGAGGACCTTTGTCTGGTAAGGTGACAGGTACACACATGACTTTAAAGATCAAGCCTCAGAAGACTCAGCCTGGAAGGGTGGGCTCTAGGGACCCACAGGAGGGAGAGTCCTTAGGCAGAGCAGGGTCCATTTCATCAAAGACCTTTCCCCTTTCACCACCATCCAAAAAGGTGACAACAGCTGACTGGCTGAATCTGCTCTCCTGGAGGTCAAAGGGTCAGTACGGAACTCTTCTGAGTTATTTTTTTTTTAAGTCTTCTGCTGGCCTTGAAGTGTCCTGTCCTAGGCAGTAGCCAAAAGCCAGACCCAACTGGCCCATTTCCCCACCTGAGTAGGAGTCACACTGTACGTCCCCCAGCTCACCCTTCCATTTTCGGGGGAATGGGAGAAATGAGACATTTCAAGGTGGGGATGGTTGTCTCATCTGGGGCTGGTAAGTTGCAGGGCAGCAGGACAGCACAGGTGCCTGGGTTGGGGAGGAGGGGCAGGTCCGGGTTCCTGTTCCCCTGGGAAGGTCCCACTCTGGTGGAGCTGACAGAGGGTAGACTGTAAGAGATTTTATCTTGGAAAGGATTTCTCAGATCTGAACATCACGACTGTTTGGCCTTGATCTTTAAACCAGGATGAATGTGTCTTCAACAGATCAATTGCCTGTGCTTTTTCCAGACTCATCTTAACGCATCATCCTGGTTATGCCCTCCTCATGCAAGAAACGGCCTTCAGTGGCTCCCTATGCCTTTAGAAAAATGCCCCAAACCCGTTCCCTATAGCATTTCTAATCTCTTGCCTGCCAGCTGCAATCTCGCTTTACAGATCTCAGTCCATACTTGGTGAATTTGATGAAATACTGAACGAAATGCAGTTGAAAGTCTCCATTCTGTCTTTTCTGACCCATTCGGCAGGAAGAGCTGCCTCCTCTTTGCTACGGTGGCCCCTTTTCTCTCCTACCTTAAAATCTCTCCTATTAGATTCTAAATGCCATCAAATCAGGGACTGTTGGTCATCCTTGTGTTTTCCAGACCTCTGAGAACAATAGGCCCTGCTCCCCCCACCCCCACTCCCCAGGTGCTCAGTAAATGTTTACTGATTTGGAGGTATTCCCTGTTCTAAACCGGGACCTGGAAGAGGGAGAGGGAGTGAGGTGCTTCCGGTGTGCAGATGCTTGAAGCCTAAGTCAGGGTTGTCATTCTCAGGGTTCAGTCCAACCTCCACCTTCACCCCAAGTTGTGGCTGCTTTGCTATGCACCAAAAATGCTCAAGATGGGGTTGAGCACTTAGGATCCCATACATATTATCTGTAAATCGTCTCCCTGAGTTGGTTCAGTATTCCTCTTTACCCATTAATCCTCCCCTGTCTTTTTCTCTTTCCAGCACTTGTAAATACAGTTTGTGCTTCATTGATTTATGATTAGACACAGTCCCCTACAAAAGCTTTAAGACATATAGAGGAAAGATCTTTTGCATTGGAGTCAGGAGACACTGTCTCTGTTGCAGTATGGTTATTTAGGAAATTGATGGTAATTCAAGTAAGGATGTTTGAATTTTAAGAGTTAATTAATGGTAGGTGGAATTTGGGGGGAAAGAAAGCTTAATTGAAAATGAGGTACCTGAGAAGGCTGAAATACCTAAAATATTTTCAGTGGGCATGGAGGATATGGTAAAGGACTGAAAATTGATGACCTGCCAGTTTCACTTACCAGTGAGTTTTATTTTCCCTGATTTAGTAGCTGTGCTCTTTCACTGATCAGTTATGGAGAGACAATTTGTATTAACTGAGATTTAGGATTTTTGTTTGCTTTTTAGAAATTAAGTAACTAAAAATGGTGAAAATGGGAGTAGGTAAACTACAAATCCCATTCCACCCTCAAAGGAGCAAGGTGAACTGGACCATGCCATTCCCCTGCCAGCCACTAGTGGTCACTATCATCCCAGGAAAGCTTGGTTGCTGTCTTTCGAGAGAGCTCCTGGGCCCAAGAGGTGAGATCAGAAGAGGCAGGGTTACAACTATTCCTTAATTTAAACGTGGAGTTACCTGCATTTCATAGAATTTTGGAATTCATAACTTGGCTTTCTTAGAGCAATTAAATGTTTTGTTCTCCAAGTAAATGTAAAGTCTTTGGAAAACTCAGTAATTTGCTCTTTAATTTCTCTTGACCTGACACACCCTTTACCTCCACTTCGTGCATGGAAAATCCAAATGATATTGAGAGCAGGGGGGTTTGGTTTCTTTGGTACTGATCTTCAGCATGTGGCGGGACCCACTGTCAGGACTGCTGGTTGAGTACATGAAGTAGTAAGTTACCTTCCTGGTGCAAATCGAAGATACTCTTGCCTTCTAGCTGCAGTACCGTGAAGTCCTCCATTATAAATTCCTTTGGGTTTTGCATTGCCCTTGCCTGGTTCTTACTTTTAAATGTTAATGCCTCATAGGAGAACTTTTGCATTAAGTCATTAACTCCCTAGCTGGGAAATTATTTTATCCTTGACTCCAGCAACTGAGCTAGACAAAGAGCTTTGGATTCTGAAGAGAATTGGCACTAAAAGTGGGAGAATAAAGGGCAAAAAGGGAGGTGGTGTGGAGGAACCAGGAGGAAGTATTCATAAATAACTTCAACTGGGTCTTGATTTTTTCTGGCTGCAGGTTATGCCTGTCGCAGGTGCATGTTAAATGCTTAAGTGAATGAGTGCACAGCCAACTGGCCATGGACTCGGGCATCAAATGGGCAGAGTTGAGGGGCATAATATCGGGCTTATTGAACTCCGGAAGTACCAGGGCAGAGAGGATATGCTAAATGAGTGGCATGATTGGTTTTGACTTGCTCACACACCCCATCATCCTTGACCTCCAGAGCTGTGAGAGCTCAGGGAATATTTGGACCCAGGTTATAGTTGGGGGCAGGAGACCCCTGAATATTCAGTGACAGTGCTACCTTTTCCCTGACTGGGAAGAGGTGGCCAAATGGGCTTAATCTCATTTGCTGCTCTGGTCAGTTGATAAGCCTCCCAGGAGTTCGGTGTTAAGGATTCTGAAGTCCAGAGGGACAGTCTCGTCATCAGCTTGGACTGTCCATCCTGGTTCAGGATGGAGGAAGCAGCACCTCAGAGGCTGGCTTCGGAGGACTGATTTTGCCCTTTCTCTCTCTCTCTCTTTCTCTCTCTCTCTCTCTCTCTGTCCCTAGGGACCCACCAGGAGCCTGGCCTGGGAGCCAGCATGGCCATCCACAAAGCCTTGCTGACGTGCCTAGGACTGCGCCTCCTCCTGTTACCAGGGGCGCAGGCCCAGGACCATGCCCATGCCCCACCTGGCTGTAGCCCGGACCTCAACCCCCTCTACTACAACCTGTGTGACCGCTCAGGGGTTTGGGGCATCATCTTGGAGGCAGTGGCTGGGGCCGGCGTTGTCACCACTTTTGTCCTCACCATCATCCTTGTGGCCAGCCTCCCCTTTGTGCAGGACACCAAAAAGCGGAGCCTTCTGGGGACTCAGGTGTTCTTCCTGCTGGGGACCCTGGGCCTCTTCTGCCTGGTCTTTGCCTGCGTGGTGAAGCCTGACTTTGCCACCTGTGCCTCGCGGCGGTTCCTCTTCGGGGTCCTGTTTGCCATCTGCTTCTCCTGCCTGGTAGCCCATGTCTTGGCCCTTAATTTCCTAGCCCGGAAGAACCATGGTCCCCGGGGTTGGGTCCTCTTCACCGTGGCTCTGCTGCTGACCCTTGTGGAGGTGATCATCAACACAGAGTGGCTGATCATTACGTTGGTCCGCGGAGGTGCTGAGGGTGGTCCTCCGGGCAACGACAGTGCTGGCTGGGCCCCGGCCTCGCCCTGTGCCATTGCCAACATGGACTTCGTCATGGCGCTCATCTATGTCATGTTACTGCTGCTGGGGGCCTTCATGGGGGCCTGGTCTGCCCTGTGTGGCCGCTTCAGGCGCTGGCGTAAACACGGGGTCTTTGTGTTGCTCACCGCGGCCACCTCCATTGCCATCTGGGTGGTGTGGATCGTCATGTACACCTACGGTAACAAGCAGCATGAGAGTCCCACCTGGGATGACCCCACACTGGCCATTGCCCTTGCCGCCAATGCCTGGGCCTTTGTCCTCTTCTATGTCATCCCTGAGATCTCCCACGTGACCAAGCCCAGCCCAGAACAAAGCTACCAGGGGGACATCTACCCCACCCGGGGCGTGGGCTACGAGACCATCCTGAAAGAGCAGAAAGGCCAGAGCATGTTTGTGGAGAACAAGGCATTCTCCCTGGATGAGCCAGCCTCAGGTAGGTGAGGGACACCCTCCCCAAGTCCCTGGCTTTTATTCCACATCATTTACTACAGGACAGGGAGCTGGTCCTCTGAGCAAAATGGAGTTTTATCTATAGTTTTCTGCCTTTATGTCCCTAAATTCCTTATTTAAAATTTTTTTTCCCTATACTCGTGAGTGTATTTTCACTGTGAGATTCCAAGCATTACAGATAACACAAAATTCTCCCCAACCAGCTTCACAATTCCACCCCATTCCTTCCTGTTCCCTCCCCAGAACTGACCCCTATTGACTATTTTAATCTCCACATGCCTCAGTTTCCTCTTCTGCAAAATTGGGAAAATAGCAACAGTTCCTGTTTTAGGATTCCAGGAGGATTGGCTAAATGCTTGGAAAGCGCTGTAGACGTATAAGCTGTTACCCGTGTGTGTGACTGTGATTTCTTCAGTCATAGGTAATAGTATCCTTCCAAAACGTATTTTTCTATTAAGTACATATCCATAGTCATGGGTTTCCTTTAAAAGTCCTTACAGTTAAAATGTCGTTCTTTTTAATAAAGCACAGTGCCGCATTCCACCCTAAGCAGCACCCATGGTCCAGCCGTGTGTCCCCTAGCTCCAGCCTGCGCTCTTTGTTAATGGGAGGGGGCTCTCCTGGTACTAGGGGTGCCTGCCAGCCAGCTGCACAGTCTTGGGGGTTAGGCTGAGGGTGCCCCGGAGTTGGAAGAGACAAGGAGCGTTGAAGCCTTTGCAGAGGGCCAGTACCCCTCTCGAGCAGCCTGGGAGGTAGGAAGGGGTCTGGCCATTCTCCAAGTGACCAGGCTGGAGGAGCTCCCAAAGGAAGGAGTATTTCTCTGTAATTTGGTAATTGTAAGGGCCCCTAGTATTTATTGAGCACCTGCTGTGTGTCTTTCCTGGTGTGTCCTGTCACACGTGCCTCAAATGCCTTCTTAGCTGGCTGGCTGGCTGGCTGGCTGGCTTATCCGACATGATCTGGAAAGCTGGAGGTATGCTCCACAAAGAGCCCTGCTGCCGACCCGAGACGGCTCTCAGCAAGATGTTTGGGGGCTTAAAACTTGTAACTGCCTGATCGCCAAGTGCCAGAGGTCAGAGGGAGAGGCAGGGGAAGTTCCAGAATCAGACAGAACCTCCTGCCCCTCTCTACAAGTACGTCCCCATAATCTCTGCTTTGGGGAAAGGGTGACCCTTGTCCTGCCAGGCACTTGATCTTTGACCTGCTCCCTGGGGCCCGCTGAGTGGCACAGCGGGACAGGTGGGAGGAACCCTGTGACCAGCGTTGGGAGGAGCTTGCCCCATCCCCACCCCAGCTCTCACCCTCTGCCTGTTTGTCAGGGCCAGAGAGTTCTCAGCCTTTGTCCTCTGGAGGCAAACACTCCCGGGGCTGTGAGGGTTTTTTCCTTTTATTTTTTCTTTCCTAAGTGGAAAAATCAATGGAGTAAGCCCAGCACTTAGGAAGGCCTCTATGGTTGTGGTCCCTCAGAGCTGCGGGGCCGCCAGCCTGCAGGAACCAGACATCCGCTTGCCTGCCCTCACGGCGCCCTGCCTGCTCTGGGGCCTCGGGGGTTGGCCAGCAGCCTTCCTCAGACGCCCTGGGAGTGCCCAGCAGAGCAGAACAGGTCGGGAAGCCAACACACACAAGGCACGGGCAAGTATTCCTGGAGCCGAAAATAGTTCTGGAACTTGCCAAGGGGACATAGGACAGGATGTGTGTTTAATCCCCAGTGCAGGGCTCTGGGTCGTGGGGTCCTGGGGCATCAGCACACAGCTCTGCCCCATGAAACATGAGGAGTCTTAGGCTGTGGGGCCTCAGCTGAAGTGCCCCAGGGCCTGGCAGCTGGCCATCCAGGAAGGCAGCCGAAGGCCCATGTGCCCCTCCTGGCCTCTGGCCCCAGAGGGCGGATGGGGATGTGAAGGTTGCTGACTGGAGCACTTTTTCCGAGCTGATGGTGGGGGCTTGTCCCGCCCTGCAGGGAAGCCCAAGGGGAAGGTGAGCAGCATCATGCCCTGCGCATCCCAACAAAGGCAGGCTGGGCTCCGGAGGGCACCCCATTGTATCCCTCACCCCCAAGCTGGCCACCCCTGGCTGGGCCCTCCCTGAGTTCGATGTCACCCCAAGGTCGGCCTAGCCCCCTTTTCTTTCTCTGCTCCCTGGGGAGCCTTGCTCGAGATCAGGAAAGGTAGCTGAGAGCCCCTCCAACCGCTCCTGTGTTTCCTTCTATTGCAGCTAAGAGACCGGTGTCACCATACAGTGGGTACAATGGGCAGCTGCTGACCAGTGTGTACCAGCCCACCGAGATGGCCCTAATGCACAAAGGCCCGGTGAGTGGGGTCCTGGGGTCCCCATGGCCCTCCTGAGACCACAGAGCCCAACCTGAGTGGGCCCATGGAGAGGGCCGTGTGGCCAGGGCAGGGCGGGTGGCGGTGGCAGGGAGAAGGCAGGCTTCTCCATCTGGGGCATCAGCTCCTTAGGCCCTTTCCCTGGAGTTGACATTCCCCCACCTTCAGCTGCAGTGTCATGGGACCTGCCCTGGGTCACTGCGGCATCACACAGTGGGGCTGCCTGCCTGCCATGGAGAACGTGGACTGGGCTCTCCTTGATCTAGTGGGAGCTGCCAGCTTTACCCTAAGCGGCTTAGGGAGGGACAGAGGAGGGTCTCAGCCAGGTAGGTGTCATTGTTGGTGACCCCAAAGGAACAGGCCCAAATGGCAGATCTGGGTACGTACTTACTTCTCGACCACAGTTGTCCCAAGAGGGCCTTGGCCCCCCTCCCCCCATTGGCAGGGAGCAGTTCCCGACCTCACGCCTCCCCTGGGTTCTGGAAACCAGATGCTCCATTAGCAAGGGGGGTGTGGGGGCAGGAACAGGAAGCTGGTGGGTTAGATTCTCACTCTCCATATATGTTCCTCCTCCCGACTGGCAGTCACTGTAGAAAGAGGTCAGTGACCCGACTTGGCAGGATGCTGGGAACAGGAAATGAGGGAGGTCAGCAGGGTGGCCCCCTCGCTGCCGTGACCCAGGAGCAGGGTGAAGGGACTGAATTTCCAGCCCCTTCTTCCTAAGCTTGAACCTGTGGCCAGGAGCCAGGATGGGCAAGGAGTCTCTGAACATGAGCCACCAGGCTGTGGATGGCCACAGGACCCTTTCCTCAGTAGCTCCCCACCCTGGCCACCCCTCACCCACTTGGTGTGCACTGAGTCCTTCCCTGGGGGGAGGATCCGGATTTTATCCAACACAGTGATTCTCAAGTGTGGTCCCCAGACCCCTAGCACTCCATCACCTGGAAACTTGCTAAAAATGCAAATGGGGTGGGGCCAGTGGTGTTATGGAATGGACAGTTGGCATCTCTTGTCACCTTGATAACTGGACATCTGCCAGAATGGGAGTAATCACCCACAGAAATCTGCAAAGACTACAGATTGGAGCTCCCTCCCTCCCACCCACCCCAGTTGTCTAACATTTATCAGTTGTCTAACATTTATTGTCCTAATAAACACGGAGTGGGGCCCAACCAGCTGTGGGCAGGACCTAACAAACAGTCCAGGTGACTCTGATGCTCATCCAGGTGTGAGGTCTACCAATCCAGATGTTCAGAGCTACACAGGGAAGGAGTGTTGGAGATCCGCCAACAGGTGGGAGGACCCCCACCCCCACCCCAGTTCTGATTAGGCAGAAGGTGGCTTGGGCCCTTCGGGCTGCACGGGGTTGGTTGCAGGTCCTCCTGTAAGATAAGGCAGGTGGGGCCTGTTCAACGTCCCTCCAGCAGGGTTGCTGGGATGGGTGCCTCAAGACCCTCTTCACCCCATAGCCAACATTGCTAACCCACATAGGAACAGGGTCACTGGAGCTCTACGCAGGTTCCAAGCAGAGAATTTGGGTTTTAAGTCTACAGATCAGACTCTTAGATAAGAAATGTGTGGGCACAGCCAGAGCCCACCCAGGAGCTTAACCAGTAGCTGTGATGCGGTTGGATGTTGGGTGTTCTTTGGGGGACTCAGGCAGGAGGCTGGAAGCATCACCAGACAGGAAGAGCAACTCAGCATGGTTCACCCTCCCCTGGGCTCCCAGGACCCCTAAGGAATCGGGAGCGGGAGGGGGCTTGAGAAGAGGATCTTTGGGAAAAGAGCGTTCATGCCAAGAAGCCCCAGGACCATCAGAGGTGGGGTGCTCGTGCTCATGCCTAGAGGCCTGGCACTCCGTTTCCAGAAGTGGAGTCATCCATCCCAGGTTGCCACTGGGGCCTGGCTTGGGGGGCCGGGGAAGGGGGAGCAGCTGGCAGGCTTAGCCCTGTAGGAAGCAGGTGTGTGTGCATCCGCCCTGGCAGAACCTGGCTGTGAGACCGCCTGTTCTTCCTTCCAGTCCGAAGGAGCTTATGACGTCATCCTCCCACGGGCCACTGCCAACAGCCAGGTGATGGGCAGTGCCAACTCAACCCTGAGGGCCGAAGACATGTATGCAGCTCAGAGCCACCAGGCGGCCACACCGCCGAAAGACGGCAAGAACTCTCAGGTCTTTAGAAATCCCTACGTGTGGGACTGAGTCTGCAGCCTGGAGGAGGCAGGCAGATGTGGGGAGGCCCCTTGGGACCTGTCCTGGGTGAGGGACTCCCCCACCCAGGAGCCCCGTGCTCTCCCGTCCCCCGCCTCCACCCCCTTGCTGGTTCAGGGTGACACTCAGAGACACAAAGGCCCTTCCTATCTGCCATTGTATGGGTGGGTGTCCCAGGTGCCCCCCACCCACTCCTCAGTATTTGTGGAGTCAAGGAGCCAACCCTGGCTTCATGCCAGGGTCCCCTGGCAGCTGTGCTCCAGTCAAATAGTATTCTTCTCGGGGTGGCAGCCGGTCAGCACCTACATTGTCTGGAGTCTTCGGAGGCATTCTGCAACCTTGAGAGAGTTGACAGGCACGTCTGTCCCGGGTCTTGCTCCTCTGTGAGGAACAAAGGTGCCTAATAAACACAGTCCTGTTTTGTTAACCCCTGCTCTGGGAATGTCCTTTCTGACCTGGGCTCTGAGCTGCTGCTGAGCCTCTCTGCTGTGGCCTGGGGAGGTCCCTCCCTCTCCTCCTCTCTTGAAACCCAGCTCATTTTGAAAGCTGCAGCTGCCCTTCCCTTGTGTGCAGGGTGAGTAGCTGACATCTCTGCTCACGGAGGGACTCCTCGGCTGAGCCTCTGTGTCATGTGTCATCAGAATGAATTTCTGGGCCCGGCTCAGGTCTAGGGGACAGTCATGTGTCTGAGGTTTGCTGGATTGGGAAGCCAGGCAGCTTTCCTCCAGGACCCTGTCCACTTGCCCTATGTGGGGACACCAGGCAGTGTATTAAGGGAAGATGGACTAACTTCAGACTGTCTTGAGGTAAATGGTGGTTAAGATCCTTAGGGGATGAGGTGAAGGATCACTCTGCTCCATGCTATTAGGTCAAGTTGTGCACACATAGAAGAGAACAGCTCTGAGGGGACAGTTGACAAAGTGGGTTTCCAAAGAGGGAAAGCATTGGGCCAGTTCTGGTTGGTTTCATTCCTGGGTGGTCATTAAAATGCTCAGTCCTTTATGGCAAACAAAGCCTTTCCATAAAAACTCATTTTAAATATCATGGATGCTCAGAAAGGTGGAAGGGACAGTATTCTCTCCTCTTTCCACAGTAAAAAGTCCTAGAACCATACCATTTTAGGGTGAGACATGGTCTTAGGGGTAAGTTAGTGGTGTAGTTTTCCAAGCCCTTCTCATAGGAGACCAAATTGACCCAGAAAAGCCATGTAGCTTCTAGAAGTGGCTACACCAAGATTGGCCAGGTTTTCTCAGAAAACACGAAGACCTTTTTCTCTGGCCCACTGTGGGATGGCCACCAGGCCCCAGTGGCCTGGGCTTGGAAGAGCAGCGGTGTCCTGACCCTTGGACACTGGCTCAAGGTTTTGTGAGGGGGCTGCTAAGCCTGCCCCTCCTAGGCTTGGGAATGTTTCTCCCCAACTAGCCAGAAGCTGTTTTTCTGATACAGGTTGTAGGGGGAAAAAAAGTTTCTGTTGGGAGAGAAAGGTTGCCAGAACTTAAAAATCGAACTTCCCCCACACTTCCATGTTACATGGCACCAACCTCCCCCCCAGAACTCTAAACACTCTTTTCTTCAGTGACGACCAGTGCTCGAGCCCTGAGCAGTGGGGTACCCTTTGACTCTTACTCTTTCTGGTTACTTTAGGCCCAGTCCCCGCAAAATAAAACGAGATGTTAGACGCCCTCTTCCCTGGACCGCACGTCATCCTGATGTCCGCACTCCTCTGTGTCCAGGCTGGGCAGGGCCCACCACCTTCCCCACCCTTGTCACTGGAGCTGGGAGGGACCAGAGGCCACTGGCCTGAAGCAATGGACTGAGTGGGGAGCCCTGTGAAAGCCCGAGGCATGTGGCTGGGGCTCTAAGGCCTCTCCCCTTGCAGCCCAGCTCAGCCCCTCCTGGTCCCCAAGCGACTGAGGCCACAAGGATCTGTCTGCAGACCCCCAGCCTGCCTCCATCCCCCTCTGATGCCCTCCCCGCAATCAGAGCCCATGCCCTGTGCTGTGGTTCTCCTCGTGGCCACCCTCAGATGCCTTCCTGGCCACCCTTGGTGTCCAGCATCAGCCGGTCCCACTCTGCACCTAGATGAGTCTCCTCCATGAGTCTTTGGAATCAAATCATGGCCGAAGTCGGCTTTTGCCTTTCTTACCAGGGCCTCCTGCCGCCACCTGGACCGCAGAAGGCCACTGAGCTGAGGTAGAGTCTGGCCTCGGCCTGGGCAGACGCCGCTTGTCTTCATGGTCCCTGGATCCCAGATCTGAGCCCCTCTGGCACTTCACTCACCTGCCCGTTTGCTCCTCGATCTCTTCACCACCTTCAGTGAACTGGGTCCCATCAAGACACAAGCTGGGGGTTGAAGTTTCATTCTCAGGGACCAGTTGAGAGTCCTGGACCACATGGATTGGGGTTCTAGACCTCTCCCAGGACTGAGATTTGTGGGACATGGATGCCCCTTAGACAAGTAGCATCTAGGACTGAAGATTGTGCCATTTCCTGATGTGCAGAAGTACAGATTTCTACCTCACCTTGGTCACCCCAACATGCTCCCGGGGATCCTGATGGACACCCAGGGAAGTGGGGGACATCCTTTGGACCTGCATGATGCTGGCACCACAGACAGATATGGTGGGAGTGAGATCACTGTAGCATTGTCTCTGGTTTTATCCTGTTTTGGGGTACCTGATACCTGGATCATTCAAGGTACCCTCCCTAGGTGTGCCCTGGGGCTACATACTCAGCCCAGCATCACCTCTGGGAGCTGAGATGGGGGCCAGGGTGGAAGCCACGCGGGGGAGCTGGGCTGTGCCTGACATGGCCCTACATACAGTCCCATGGCTCTCCTTTGCCACTGCCATCTTCCACTCCCAGAAGCCTGTGGCTTTGTCACTGGGATGTTTTTCCAGAGCTAAGTGGGGTGACCAGTCCCTACAGAGAGTAGGGCCAGGCCCACAAGTGTGCTGTCCCCCCATCATTCACAGCCATCGTACTGGGTCACTCAGTTCTGTGAATGGAGTATTACCTCCCTCTGATGGGGGAGGTCTGCACCTCAGACTTCCCCATCTAGGTTAGTGCCCCAAGATCCCTTAGGGTGAATAAAGGCACTGTCTTTTCAAGGTGATGGTCTCATGCCACAAAGAGCACCTGCAGTGAGTATGTGTGTGTGTAGCCCAAGTCCTCCCAAGATCTGAGTGGGCCTTGGGCAGGGCTGGGTCCCTAAAAGACGGCAGGCCTGCCTGGTTTCAGGAATACTCAACGGCCATGCTTAGGCCAGTTTGGCCAAGCGCAAAAGATAGATGAGTTTTGAGGAGGAAAGCAGTACCTTCTCAGAAGATGTCCAGCTGCTTCACAAATAAGCCTCAAAGGGAAGAAAACAGGAATGAGCTAGAACCTGCTGCAGGTAATGTGAAGTTAACACCCTGGTAAATCCCACTCCACTCCTGTAAAGTGTAGCCTGAAGCATAGTGGTTGGGACTTCCTAATGGCCCAGAATTAAATGACATTATTCTAAGTGTAAGAGATTAAACTACCCCGAGTCTGTGTGTGCATTAATTTTCCTGGGATTTAGTACATATTTTTAACCTATTTCTTGCCTTCCTGACCAATGAAGGCTGATTCCAACTAACCTAGAGATTGATTCTCTAGGGAGGAAATGAACCTCTAAAACAAGCGAACTCCAGGACCAGCATCCCTCCCCCACCTGCCCACACAGGCTGGGCATGGGTTGTATGGAGCAGGGAGCCTTAGAGTCCTTGTACAGCCTAGCATGCTGGAGTGGGGAAGGCACCATTGAGGCGGGGGGGCAGCGAAGGACCAGCAGTACCTCCCCTGGGTCTGGAGGACCTCCCAAGTGCCACACATGGCATCCCAGTTCCTACATGTGGTTTTCCTGCCCTTTTCCAGAGCCCCTTACAGCTCATGCACGTAAAGTGACTTGCCCAGGGTTACACAGTAAGGGCTTGTCAGCCCTCTAACCCACTGTCACCAAGCCTACCACTTTCTCGCCCCAGGAGAAGTGCTGAGGTCAGGCACAGGTGCAGGTGACCAGACTTCGCTGCCTGCTGCCTGCACTCCAGGCCCTCCCGGAAGCTGCAGCCGTGCTCCAGCAGCCACATGAATTATTTAGCATCTGCACCAGCTGGGTAATGCTCTAACCGCATCCTCCTCCGGCTCAGGGCTCAGAGATTTCTGACCTCCATCTCTTTGAAGAAGAGCTGCTGGTGGGCAGAGGTTAGGGCCGTAGGTCCCTCTGTGGGGTGTGGGTGACTGAAGTACACAAGTACCCTCAGGGAAGGAGGTGAGAACAAAGACTAACTGCCCTTGTAGTAGGAGGCAGCTCTGCCACAGAGAGATGTGGATGTGACCCAGGAATCAGATGGCCACGGGTTCAGATCTTGGCTCCTTAACTAGCTTTGTGACCTTGGGCAGCCCTCTTGACCTAACCTCAGTTTCCTCATCTTTAAAATGGAAGTACTAACACCCTGAGTTCATATTTAGTGTTCCCCCTTCAAGGTCACTCCATGAAAGTCACAGCCAAGCCAGAGCACCCAGGAGCTAGCTGGCTGGTTTCCTGCCCAAACACACTGGCCTCAGGGCCAGATCTCTGTTTCCTGCCCTCTGGAGGGCCACATCTTTCCTTTCTCTGCAGTTCCGCACACACCTGGCCCCCAGGGTGTGTGGGAAGACGGGTACTGGAGGGAGATGCTAAGGAGAGGGACGGACCCTTGGCAGTGCCTGGACTGATGGGTTGACAAGGTGTAAAGAGGCCCTTGGCGCTCAGGAAGTCGAGAAGTCAGATTGAAGAGGTGGATTTGAACTGCTGTCAGTTGTCAGGAAATGTTCATTGAGCCTCTACTCTAGGGCACAGACAGGAGCAAAAACCGGTTCCCTGCCCTCCAGGGGCTGGCAAACTTGACTCCCCTGCCAGGTCAGACCCAAGGGCTGAAGTGGGCGCAGTGATTGTGGGCTCCCTCCCGGATCCATGTTGGCATGAGACAGGCAGATAGTGCGTCCACCAGGCACCTCTCAAGTGACACCCTTCCTGCCAACAGGGTTCCTCAGGTGGGACCTGGTCTTTCCTGACCTTGGTTAGCTCCCCTGACTGCCTCGGTTTTCTCATTTGTAAGATGGACCCCGAGGCTCCAGCTTTGCCTAAGCCCTGGAGTTGGAACCCCCAATAGTTGAGAATGGGCCCCAAACCACAGGGCTGCGCTGAGGATACGCCCAGCAGCCTCGACTCAAGGTCTGGAGCAGAACTGGGCGAACGCAGGGCCTCCGCGTCTGTGCCTGCAGCAGAAACTGGGGTCCTGGGAGGGGATCGAACTCCAGCCGGCTCTCCGATGACTCCCAGGTTTTTCGAGCCAGTCCTGGGAGGCGCCGGGTACTGGTTGCTCCGCGCCGAGCGTCTAGGTTCATACAAACGACAGCTGTTCCTCCACTCTCTGACGGCACCGGAGCGCCCGCGGGCTCATCGGGGTTCATCGGGTCCTTATCGAACGTTTGAGCTGCGGCCCTGACCTGAGGGGGTGGCAGTTGAGACACCCAGAAAACACCACACTGTGCCCCGTGCCCCCGGGTGGCGAGAGGTTGGGGTGAGGGCGTGCCTCTGGCTCTCAGACGTAGCTCCCTAGCCAGGGCCTGCCCCCAGTCCCCACCCAACCCGAGGCTACCTCCAGCCTCCAGCCCAAACTCCGCCTCCAGCCCCTCCCAATCCGAGGCCACCTCCAGCCTCCTGCCCAAGCTCCGCCTCCAGCCCCTCCCAATCCGAGGCCAACTCCAGCCTCCCGCCCAAACTCCGCCTCCAGCCCCTCCCAATCCGAGGCCACCTCCAGCCTCCCGCCCAAACTCCGCCTCCAGCCCCTCCCAATCCGAGGCCACCTCCAGCCTCCTGCCCAAGCTCCGCCTCCCAGCCCCCACCCAACCCGAGGCTCCCTCCAGCCTCCCGCCCAAACTCCGCCTCCAGCCCCACCCAATCCGAGGCCGCCTCCAGCCTCCCGTCCAAACCCCGCCCCCAGCCCCTCCCAATCCGAGGCCACCTCCAGCCTCCTGCCCAAGCTCCGCCTCCCAGCCCCCACCCAAACCGAGGCCGCCTCCTGCCTCCCGCCCAAGCCCCGCCCCGAAACGCCTGCAACTGGATCCCGCGCTCGGCTAGCCGGCCTGGACCGGCTGTCTCAGCGGCTCCCGTCCGGGCTCCCCGCTCCTCCCTGGGTGGTTGGCAGCGCCACGTGCCCTCTCCCCACCTTCCGGGCCCTGCCAAGACCTTACACTCAGCTTCCCCTCTTGGGATTGCAGTGATTTGGGACCTTTTTCCTGTCCCTTTCCGGACAGTGAGCCCCGGACCCTGGCTGGTACTAGCATTCCTCCCTGTGTCTCTGGCGTCCGCATAAAGCCGGGGGTCAGGGAAACAGCTCCGTGTCCCCCAAGAGGAAGAATCTCCTCCGGGCGGCCCGCTGGGCTGGCTCATCACGTTTGCATGGGTGGGTGTAAGGGTGCACAGGAAGCCTTACCACTGCCTCTGGAGGAGGGTGGGGGTGCTCCTCAGCCGGTACCCTTGACCCTTGGGCCTGGATCATGTTTGGTGGGGCCATTCTGTGCGTTGTAGGTGCATCTCTGGCCTCCACCTACTACATGCCAGTAGAACCACAATCATCCTAGTGGTGACAACCAAAAATGTCTCCAGACATTGCCCAATGTACCCTGGGGGCAAACTCCTTCCTGAGTTGAGAACCACTCCTTTGGGGTATGGGCTCTGGCACAGTCTGGAGCCAGAGGTCCCTGCCAGCCCGGGACTCCTTATGGGATTCCAGGCCCCCTTCTCCATGCTGAATTTCAGATGCCTCAGGTCAGCCTGGACACTGTGACCCTTAGCCTCACAGCATTTGGGAGGCATGTGACCAGCCAGCAACTCTCACTGTGCAAACACCTGAGCTCCTGCCCTGGATGTGGAGGTTGGTCCCGGACAGGGGATGTGGGGCACTCATATTTTTCTGTCACTACCAGTCAGTGTAGCTGGGGCACCAGAAAGAGACCCACATGGTGTCCATCAATCAGGCAGCCCCGGGGTTCATGGAGAGCCGCTGGAAGAGGGGCCATGGTGGACTAAGGCCACCAACTGAACCCAGGGGCTGCCTGGGACAGGGGACTGAGGGTCAGGGCAGCATCCTGGCCAGCAGAGGCTCAGGGTGGACCCCAGTCCTTGGGGCTGCCAGACATCCAAGGGCTCAGCTCTGTTTTCTCTTCCACAGGGGAGGCAAAAATTGGGCAACTTTATACACACACACGCCACATAGGCACACATATACACCCACATGGAGGTAGGGACTCAGGAAGTGGGGTTTCAAGGACCACAAATATGAATCATTAACCAGGCCTATTTGGGGATGGTCATCATAGGTGGAGGGCAGGGGGCTAGGCAGATGCTGTTGTCACTCCCACCCCCTCCCCACCCCCAGCCCACATTGCAAAGTAGAATTTTCCAAAGCACCCAGCCCCACACTTAAGGGGGGAAGGTTTAATATTGTCCCCGCCCCCATATTCATATTTACCTGTATTTGCATAAGAAGTTAAAAGACACCATAACAGGTTAAAGTGGAGGGAGTGGGTCCCTGAGACCAGGCAGATGAAGGACAGGGAGACTTTCTGCTGTTTTCTTTCTCTCTTCTTCCCTCCCTCCCTACTCCCTTCCTTCTTCCATCAAAATAAATAACATATATTTTTTTAATAATCTGAAAGGAAGAAAAGGAGCCCAAAGTGAGCTCACCTGGAGTAGTTCTGCCCCCCTCCGCAGTGACCTGCTTTGTCACTGCCCACCCTTTCCAGGGGCCACAGTCCTTGGCCACACCTCTCACTCCTTGTCCTTCCTCCGAGTCCAGCGTTTCTCTGCCTGTTTTTTCAAGGGCATTGTCCCCTTGGGAGGATGTTTGAGGCAGCTGAGGATGAGGGACCTGAGGAAGAGAGTGCATTCATTGCATGCAGGTTCATGGGACCCCCACGCCCACTCCCACCCAACCTTGCTGGATAATTGTGATTCTGAGAAGACCCAGTCAGATTGACATTCATGGAACAGGTCACCTGCTGACGCAATTTGCAGCTTCTCTATGTGTAGCTCATTGTCATAAAACACAGCTGTGTCCCTCAGAGCAGACAATACAGACACGGGATTAACAGTTGACTCATCAATTCCTTCATTCATCAGTCTTTTATCAATATTTATTAAAGGCTGCTCCCTGCCATCATTCTAATGGCACCAGCTTCCACATGGAAGTCTCCTAGTGCCCAGGTCTGCCTGGCACACAACCCTCTCTCTTCATGTCCATGAACTCCATTCCAGGTCCCCATATTGGCCACATGTCAAGTGTCTCTGGGAGGAACTGACTATTCTGCGTGAATTCTATATTGACTTTACCATATGGATAAGGTGATGTCATACTCCAGGGAGGCAAGGATAAAGCCACCATGTACGTGTGCACGTGTCAGTGTATCTGGGTAGGGGCTGAGGACTTACCTGGGAGAGGTGGTGTCTCAGAT